TATCTATATATATATATATCTCTTTAAATTATAAGACTGTGTGTGTCTAAAGATTTGACTGATTTATAAAGTTACCATTATGCTTCTTATGATGATTAGCCCTTTACTACCTTTTGTGCAGTCTATTTTTCCCCTAAAAGACTAAGCTAAAAAAGAAATCTAGGATCTTGCACACCGTGTTAGGACAGTATATTTCTGGGGGAAGTACATTTCATAAAACTCCTCATAGGGATATGCTCTGCCAGCAATTTTCTCTTACTCTCTTATTAAATCTGGCAGGGATGTGAACTCTTGTTTCCCACTCATTACGTCTGCAACTATTTCATATAGGAGAGACTAGACCTTAACTTTTTCTTTTGCCTTAACCCTTTAATACTTTAAAGGTTAAAATTAGCATCTTAAACTCTGTGCAGTTGCTGCCATTTCTGCCTCTTTTCTGTGGGAACTAACAGAACTGCATTAAGTGGGGGAAATAAATAAAATGGGTATTATGGTATGGGGGGAGGGTTGTCCTTTTTTGAGAAATGAATTGTTGCTCTTCTAATGTGTGAGTATATGAATTATGTACTGCTTGTTTTGTTAATCATGCCATTGCAAAGCCATAGGTAACTCTCTTGCATCACTAATAACCTTATTTGAATATTTTTTCCTAGACCTTGAGGATTTTAGACAGTATCTTGAAAAGCGTTTTGATTTTGAACAAGTTACAGTTAAAAAATTTCGAACCTGGGCTGAGAGAAGGCAGTTCAATCGTGAAATGAAGCGGAAGCAGGCAGAGTCTGAGCGTCCTATTCTGCCAGCTAATCAGAAGCTCATTACCTTGTCTGTGCAAGATGCACCTACAAAGAAAGGTTAGTTTCATCTACTCGAACATGACAAACATATAAAGGACCTGTTTGTAGTTTAAACTTGTCAGTGAGAACTTGTAGCAAGTAGATTTCTATATAGGCTTTATCAATCTGATTGTAGGAAATCTTGGATTTTTATGCTCTTGGTTCTATTTGTTCACTTCATGTTTACATGGTAAGCAGAAAAAGAGTTTAAAATGGGTATTTATGAAAAAGGGTAATGAAGTGCACGTTCTACTTAGATGGTGAAGAATTGATATAAATGTTGTCTTGCAAGCTCTATACTGAATTGGTTCACGGCAGAGATTTTTTTTTTAATTGGATTTCCTTAAGGGTGGATATTTGAAATTCTTCCTTCTGATCTCCATCTTTTTTGCTGTAGTTAATGGCTGCATGCAGACAATGTGGTGGGGAGGGCTTTACAAGAAGTAGCAGCACATTAGTTTGACCCAGCTCCACAGGGGTTTGTATAGACTGGGCACTTCAGCAGGGCTTTTTGGTGCTTTTATCCAATAGTTGATGCAATCAGCTATTAGATAAAACGGCCCGCTAAAAACTCCCTATCTATACAGACATTAGGTGAGCCAGATCCAGCTAATGCGCAGCCTGTTCTGGTTATGTGCTGGGCTCAGCTTGGGAGCATGCTGAGTTTAAAGTGACGCACCAGGCTTTTTTTTAATGTCTGCAAGCAACCAATTTTTTTTCCCCCACAATTCTAGGTTGAGGCCTCATAATATTGGGTGTAATATATTTATTTTGCAGATTTCAGTTTGTTTTACTGCATAGAAAATTCTAAAGAACAATTCAGTTGGTCTTGTTCATGCTACAGCATAAAAGAACATGTAATTCCTTTGATATGAGAAACAGGGGTTTGCCAAACTAAAAATTATCATCATCATGCATGCATGCATGCAAAATCTCCAGCGACTTCAGATTTGCAGTATGGGACATTATAATATGTATGCTGATTTGCTGTGGGTTTAGGTACTCAAGTTTTTCTTATGTTACTGAGGAAATTAATTGGGGGTCTTGAAGTAACCCTTTTCCACAAGTTTTTTTTTCCTACATATGACTTCTTCCATGAAAAGTTAAACCAGATTTTCTTAAAGGTGGGTATTTGGAATTCCTTCTTATGAGCTCCATCTTTTTTGCTGTAAGGTACCTGTAGATGTGCAGGATGTCTGCTCTGACATGCTGCAATTGCAGCATGTCGGAGCAGACTTGATTTTAATGCTCCCTCCCCCAGCACATGTAAAGCCCAAAGGCTTTGAATTTGACTTCTGACCTGTTTTGTATTCAGTTAATGCCATATTTTAATAATCTTTGTTTATCAGAAGAAATATAGTTCCAAAAATGCATCTTGAAACTCTCGCTCTTCCCACATGGCCCTTTGCTAGATCAAAGTTCAGATCAAGGGCATGCAGTATTTTTTTGATCAACTTTTAATGAAATATTAGAAACTTTCTGGCTTTGGATAGTTGAAACAAAAACATTACTTTCATGGTGATAACATTAACCAACCTATTTGCTTCAGTGGGTAAAAATGAAGTGGCTCCTTTGCATCCTATTTTGGCTAGACTAAAGAAAAAACCCAAAACTTTTTTTTTTGATTGGGGGAGCAGTTCAGGGGTATTACAGTAAGTTCTCTGACTTCAGTACTTAGCAAATTTGAGTTCTTCTCCTGTGTGAAGAAATACTTTGATTCTGTTCATGCGAATGTAGCACAGCCCTGGCAGATCTTGAGGCAAGTTTCTCTGAAATATGGCTTGTTCTCTTTCTCCCCCTTTGAAATCTGCCAGGCATAACATGGAGCATGGAACAGGGAGGAGTGCTAGGGCGTAGCATGTCTGGGGTGAAAGGATTTTTTGTTTTGCGGGAGGGAGGTTCACTTTGAGGTGCTGAAGCAATTGTGCCCTGCTTCCTGCCCTCTCTTTGCATGGGGAATG